GCTACTGAGGAGGCTGAGGTGGGAGGATCACTTGAGCCTGGGAGGTCAAGGGTGCAGTGAGCTAACATGGCACCACTGCGCTCTGGCCTGGGCAACAGAGTGAGACCCTGTTTCAAAAAAAATTTTTTTATATGCCCTGTTTCACTCATGGGGTCGAGTTTGCTTGCCCTGAATTTTTTATTGAAACATTATCTTTCCGCCACTAAGTGTAGTCTTGTTTGGGAGGCTAATTCTAGGTGACTTTTTGCTACTCTGGGAGCTGAAGGGTTAGAACCCTCCCTCCCCCCACCACATGGTCAGGCACATGACTCAAGCACTGTCAATGGAGTTCCCTCTCCAAGGACTTTGACTCATGAGTAAGTTACTCAAGGGCAATAGTAAATTTCTGTTGCTTGCTGCCAATCATGAATAATAACTGAATCATTATCTAAACTGAGGAGGAAGACCATTAATAGGTTGGTATTTAAAAATACTTTTCCAACATTTGTGAAACTTTTCTAACTCAGTAGGCTGTGGAGACAGTTACAGAGGAATTACTGGTTGCAGATAAACCCCCAAAGATGAGAAGTACTTGTTGAGCATCTATTCATTTCTCAGATTTGCAAATAAAGCTGAAGATTGTGCCTATGCTCCAGCCTACTTTAGGAGAATATACATACAGCCTAATGTTTTCCTGGAGAGAACAGAATGGAAACTGTTCATGACTGTGCAATGTCATCTTGTACAGGTCATGACCTTTCCAGGATGGCCCACAGATAATGATGAGCAAGGCAAAGTCACAAAGGCTGGCTATTTTGGCCTGAAGGAAGATAAGTATTGGGCCACATTTACTCCAGAGGCCCCAGTCTGGTCGGCTAAAGCTTTGTCAGGCTTGCATCATGTTCAGCCTTCTTCTCTGCCCAATCTTGCTTCCTCCCCTTCCTTTCACAGATACTGATCCTTAATAGACATCTCTTTCCTCAAACTCTATCCCATCTGTTTTCAGAAAGCCTGATGGTGACATCAATGCACTCAGCTTGGTCTTGATTGCTTCAGTGAATCTTTCTAAGCTGGCCAGTGACATAAATGTTGGTAAATCAAACAGACATTTCTTGGTCATCAATTTACTTAATCTCTTATGGCATCCGAAATAGTAATTAAGAAAAAATTACAGTGGTAGCCCACAGAATTCACACAGTTCTTGCAAACACATCATTTATTTATTTTTTCATTAATGAATATATAATGAAGGGCTTCAAATATGACAAAGTAAGAAATATAAAAACAAATAAGACAAAACATTTGTTTTCTAGGAGCTCTGTTTAATGAAATTTCATTGGATATGGAAAATAAAAGAGGAGAAAGAGAGCAGCCTCCATGTTTTGAGCTGGGACGACTGGATGATTCAGATGTCATTGAGGTAGAATCTACAGGAAGGATAATTAGTTTAAAAAGGGAAAGAGGTTCGTTTTTGAGTTCCATGAGTTACAGGCACCTGTGGGATGTCACGCAGAGATGACTTCAGAGTAATCATACCAGAGATCAAGGTGTAGTAAGTTGAAGTCTGAATATACCCTGAGCATATGGCAAAGGATGAATAGGGATGGGAGATTCTCAAATGTGACTGAGCATCAAACTCATATTTAGAGTTAAGGAAAAATGAATTCGAAAGTTTTTTTCCCTAGAGATTTTTATTTGTTGATCTGCAGAGAAAAATGTATATTTTTACGAACTCTTCAGATGTCCTGTGTTCAGTTTGGATTCTCTTGGAAAGCAGACACCAAGACGGAGTGAAAATGGGAGGGGAGGAATATACACGTGGTTGGGGAAGAATACATGTGTGAGAGGAAATGGGAAGGGAGCTGGAGAAGGCTGGATGAGCTCTCACACTGCTATGCAAATCTTCACCAATAAAGGCAGGAAGAGGGGTGGTTAGAAGTATCTCAGAGCATTCTGCAGGTTTAGCAAGCTTGTGAGGGGTTCTGCATCTTTCAGCAACAGGCCTGCCTTAGTATCCCTGCAACACTCAGTCATTGGCTAGAGCAGCCTGTGGGAAGCCTGGTCTTGGCACAAACATTGTGACGGATTTCAGAATACAGCAGCTGGGGCCTTTTGGGCAATTAAATGCCTCATAGTTGGAGGTCTTTGAGGCACATTCTCTTGGCTGCCACATGTACCCTGTCATTTTAAGACAATGAAATGAGGGAAAAAAAAAATCCAAATGGGCCGTAGCAGGACAGGTATTTGGGCCTAAGGCAAAGTTTCATGCTGCTTTTTAGATGGGAAAGATTTCAACATTTGTAAGACTAGAGAAAGGAATCTGTATAGTGGGAGAACTTAAAGAAGAGGGATAAAGAGAGGGAGGGAGAAAGGGAGAAAGAGAATCAGAAAGAATACATTGTAAAGGACAAACACTCCAGAAAAGGCAGGAAGAAATAGGATCCAAAGCTTATGGGTCTGAATTTGAGGCATGACATCTTATTCTCTGGGACAGTGTCTGGATATGGGTTAAGGTCGAAGGTTGTAGGGAACTGAAAGGAATTGCATTAAGTTATCTTAATTTCTGACACAATATAGGAGGCAAAGTGTTAGGAGCCCTGGTAGGAGGCTTGATCTTGAAGAGGAGATATCCCATTATCTGAGGCTGAAGCTAAAGAGGCAAGGCTGAATGCCGAGAAAGACTCTTTTGAGATGTGGGATCAAGTTAAGGGAGAAAAAGCCTGATGGCCTCAATTTTTATATATATATATATATATTTTTTTTTTCCCTCCTTTTTTTGAGACAGGGTCAGGTT